CCAAGTTACTTCTGCTACAGCTGAAGTCATGCTTCTATACTCAGCTTCAGCTGAGCTTCTAGATACTGTCTGTTGCTTCTTTGATTTCCATGACACTTATAGACTCTCCAAACTTTACAATATATCCTGTATCTGATCTTCTAGTTTTAGGGGAAGCAGCCCAATCTGAATCACACCAACATGTCAATGTTGTGGTAGGTTGAGCCTTCAGCCAAATACCTTGGCCAACTGTTCCTTTCAGATACTTCACCACCCTGACAGCTGCTTCCCAATGGGACCTTTTCGGATGTTGCATAAATTGACTAAGTGTCTGAACAGCATAACTGATGTCAGGTCTAGTAATTCTGGCATACATTAACTTGCCTACCAGCCTTTGATAAGCTGAGCAATCTGTTAATACATCATCTCCATGTAATCCAGTAGCCTTGTCAAATTCCACTGAGGTCAATCTCAAATTGGATTCTAATGGAGTAGCTGTTGTTTTTGCACCACTTAAACCAATATCAGAAATCAGCTCTAACATGTACTTCCTTTGATTCAGAATGATGCCATTCTTGGATCTTAACACCTCAATTCCCAAGAAATATTTAAGCTCTCCCAAATCTTTAAGTTTGAATTGTTTATGCAATGTCTCCTTTGCTTCTTTGATCAGTGCCTCATTGTCCCCAGTAATGAGTAAGTCATCAACATATATCAAAATAATAACCATCCCCTCTGGCTTCTTCAAGGTGAACAAGGAGTAGTCATGAGAACTTTGAATGAAGCCTGCTGATAATAAAGTGTTGGTGAGCTTGATGTTCCACTGTCTAGAGGCCTGCTTAAGGCCATACAAGGACTTGATCAACTTGCAAACTTTAGTGGTCCCTTGAGTTCTAAAACCTTCAGGCATCTCCATATAAACCCCCTCATCCAGGTCACCTTGTAAAAATGCATTGTATACATCCATTTGATAAAGAGACCAGCCTTTTTAAACAGCTAAAGCAATGACACATCTAACAATAACCATTTTTGCAACTGGAGAAAAAGTGTCATGGTAGTCTATTCCCTCCTGTTGACTATAGCCCTTGGCTACAAGTCTGGGCTTGAACCTTTCCACCTCACCATTAGCTTGATATTTTATCTTATAGATCCACTTAGAACCAACTGCATGTTTGTCTTTAGGCAAATCAACTACCATCCAGGTTTTGTTGTCTTCAAGTGCCTTGATTTCAAGTTTCATAGCATCAATCCATCTATCATCAGTACTAGCTTGTTTAAAGGTCTGAGGCTCAGTTAAGGTTGAAAACTTGGCAAGATAGCTGTGATACTTTGATGACACATGAGTATAACTGAGATGATTAGCATGGGATACCTGCTACTATGTCCCTTTGTAGGAGCTGAGTAATCTGTCATCCATATAGGTGGTCTAGTTGTCCTGGTAGACCTCCTAATAGAAGTTTCAGGTGGTTGGGCATCTATTGACTCAGCTGTGTCAACTGAGTTGTCAATGTTGAGTAATATCTCTGCAGGCTCATCACCAATCTCTGCAACCACAGGAACAACACGTGGGCAATCCTCTGGTACTACCACTTCCAGATAGGCAGGATCTTCAAACATTAAGGTGACACACTTGTAACAGGTTCTTTAGGAAGTTGTGGAGAAGCAAATGGAAATATCTGTTCTTGAAAAACAACATCTCTACTGACCAGAAGCTTGTTTGTGTGTAAGTCCAATAACAAATATCCCTTTTTGAGTTTCTAAATACCCCATTAGAACAACAGACTTTGCCCTTTCTGATAACTTGTCATTCCTTGGAATAACTGATGCATAGCCAAGACATCCTATGACTCTTAAATGACCAAGGTTAGGGGATTTTGAGAACATCATCTCATAAGGACTCTTGCCACCATTAAGTGCTGGTGTTGGTAATCTGTTGATGAGATATACTGCTGCTTTGACACAAAGACCCCAATATCTGAGGGGCATGCAGGCCTGAAATCTGATTGCCTAGCTACATTCAAAATATGCATGTGTTTCCTTTCTACCACACCATTTTGCTGTGGTGTGTGAGGACAACTACTCTGATGTGAGATACCCAAATTCAGGAATAACTCCTTGCACTGAGAGTTGAAGAACTCAGTCCCATTGTCTGATCTTACTGTCTTTATGGTGTGACCAAATTGGTTCTTAATCATTAATAAGAAATTCTTTATGGCTACAATAGTTTCAGATTTAAGCTGCAGTAAATGAATCCATGTACATCTGCTATAATCATCAACAATTGTCAAGAAGTAATGTTTCTTATCAAATGTAGGAATCTTATATGGTCCCCATAGATCCATGTGTACAAGTTCAAATGACATAGATGTTTTGGAATTACTAATAGGAAATGATAATCTAGTATGCTTAGCTAGAGGGCAGACTAAACAACTATTCAGTAGTTCAACATCCTTATTACTATGCAGTAAATCTAAGCATTTCAAAATATGAGAAGAAGGGTGGCCAAGTCTTCTATGCCACAGATCACAGTCCTGCAGTGATACTCCTGCAACTATTTTCTGATTACTTTGAGTTCCACAAGTGTTCTGTATGTCAGGTTCATCTCTGAGTATGTATAAACTTCCTTCCTCCCTACCAATCCCCTTCACCCTGCCACTGTAAAGGTCCTGGAAGACACAGAAGTCAGGGTAAAAGGAAACAAAGCATGAAAGTTCCCTGGTTATCTGGGACACTGATAGTAAGTTAAACTTAAAATCAGGAACACATAGCACATCTTTGACAGCTTCATTGTAAAACAGAAATATCTCTCCTACGTGTGATATAGTGGCCTTATCACCAGTAGGCAAATTCACCTTGTCATGATGAGGATCAGTTGTGCATCTACTGTTTGCTAACAAGTGTTTATCTGCTGTTATATGATGAGAAGCTCCAGAATCTATTATCCATCTATGTGAGCTAGCATTTGTTGAAAAACAATTAGCCATACCTGTCAACTTGGCCTGCTTCATGTCCTTGTTGTCTTTGCCCAGCATATTCATTATTTGCTTGTATTCTCCATCAGTGAATGTATGTCCTTTAGTGACAAAGGCATTATTCACTTCATGACTGGTAGATGCCACTTGAGTTTGATCTGGATGATCTTTTGAAATGTTATTTGCTAGGTGATTTCCTGTTTGATCTCCAAAGTTGCCATATCCATGATTTCCATGTCCTCCAGAATGAGAATTGGATGGACTTGCCTTTGAGTTGTTAAAACCAGATTTCTTCCTGTTTTTCTAGTCAGCTGGATAGCCAATTAGCTTGTAACAGTTCTCCTTAGTATGTCCAGTGTAGTGACAATATTCACATCTTCATCCTTTGTAATTTTGACTTCCCTGATTATAGCTTTGTCCTCTGTTAACATTCATAGCAATTGTTTCTGGTATTGCATTAGCAGTTACCACACAAGTATTTTGTTGCTGAATCTCATCCTCTATAATCATAGCATAAGCTTGATTAATGGATGGAGTAACACCTTTCAACAAAATCTGTCTCCTAGCCTGCTCATAAGACTCATTCAAACCACTGAGAAACTGAATCAATCTAAGCTGACAGAGATGATCTGCATATTCCTTTGATTTTGGACAAGCACAACTAGGTGAAGGCACAAGTGCATCAAATTCACCCCAGAGATTCTTCAATTTAGTATAGTAAGTCGAGACAGAGTCTGTACCTTGTGATAATGTGTTGATCTCCCTATGCAGTTGATAAATCCTCATTCGATTTACCTTATCAAACCTCTCCTTCAAGTCTACCCGTATATGCACTGGTAGCATAAACTATTCCACTCAGAAGATCTTCACTAACTGCACTCATCAACCACGATAGAACTATTGCATTACAGGCTTCCCATTGTTCATGCAATTCTTCTCGATACAAAGATCTACTGCAAGCTCCCGTAACAAATCCATATTTCCTCTTCCCTAACAGAGCAATTCGCATTGACCTACTCCAAATTCCATAGTTCTCAGGACCAGTGAGTTTGATAGGAATCAAAGCTGCACCTGAAGCATCTGATGGACCTATATAGAGAGGATGATTCTGATCTATTCTCACGTTCGCCATTGTCGTCTTCTTCGCAATTTTGTTGTATTGAAACAATTCTCTGATCTACTAGATAGCAAGCATAACCTACTCTGATACCATGTGAAAATTCTAAGCTAAAGACCTCATTTCACCATTGAAGGTTCTGGAAGAAAACTGAATTAGAAAAGAGGAAGAAGAATCGTTTTATTTCATCATCTGATCAGTGTTACAATTGTGCCTTATTTATATACTTACATTTCAGATTCAATCCACCAGAAATACATTCTCTAACTAACTTTGATTCCCTATCCAATTACAGCTAATTACCCTTTTAACCCACTAACTGATTAATCCCATACTAACTACTTCTAAACAGTAATAACCAACTGTATACAGTAATAACAGAAAATGGGAATTCAACAATAACAACATTAAGAAATTTAACTAGCTCGTGATTTAGGAGAAGTAATAGGCATGTCATCAACACCACTTCACCCTAGAGAAACATTTGGATGCTGGAAATGGGATCTTCAAACCTGAAGCCAGTGGTTCATAAAAAAACTGAACGGTTGTGATAGCTAACAGGTCCATGTGAAAGAACAATCACAACCTTATCACAAAAATGAAAAACATTAAATCAAGGCACAGAAACATTACCTGTGCATCAAATAGGTGGATACCTGCACGTTAATGATGGATCCATCTGCTGCTCATAACATCAACATCTCTGAAACTTCAAGCAGCAAGGACTGTATTATAGTGCCTAACATCTGATGGTCATGTTTCTTACCTTTAAGATAAGTGATAATATCTGGAAAGACAAAAATTCTGCCTCACTTTTTCTTTCCCAAAATTTCAGCAGGACAGGTTTGCACCAAAGCTCATAGTCGTTAAAAGTAGAAAGCTTTGTACATGGTTACAACCTCTTTCAATCATATCAAGAAATTGCATCATCTTCAAGAAAGTATTGAGCTTTCAGTTTGAAATACGTATCCAACATCCTTCATTGGATCGATGAGTTTAGTTAGCAATTCTTTTATTTCTTCTGACCGACTGTGGGACTGGTCTTTACTGACAAACTTATGTCTGATGTTTTTTATCTCAATCCAACTATAAGCTGCTTCTTTCACCAATCCTCTGTTATCCATGTACCTTCGCAGACTGCGGGCATCATCCCACCTTCCTGCTGCTGCATAGATGTTGGATAACATAATATACCTGGCAGCATTATCAGGTTCCAGCTCAAATAGAGCTTCTGCTGCCCTTCTAGCAAGTTTTAAGTTCCCATGTACCCTGCAAGCACCCAGAAGCGCGCCCCACATTCCAATATTGTTTGTTCCCCAAGGAGCTCCCTTGATTAATTCCGCAGCTTCCCAAAGTCTATTCTTCCGTCCAAGTAAATCAATCAAGATCCCATAGTGATCTAATTGGGGCACTATACCGTATTCCCTCTCCATTGAATGAAGATAGTGGAATCCTTCAGATAGTAAACCACAGTGGCTACAGGCAGATAAAACCCCAAGAAAAGTTACATGATTTGGTTTTGTACCTGCTTCAATCATTTTGTCAAACATGAACAATGACATCTCTCCATTCCCATTTTGAGCGAACCCAATTATTATTGAGTTCCAAGTAACTCGATCCTTCCCATCTAACCTCCCAAACAATGTCATAGCAGATATCATGTCTCCACATTTACAATACATGTCAATCAAAGCATTAACTACAAACACATTATGCAAATCAATTAAACACGTATATCTAAAAATGTGTCCATGAACCTGCTTCCCTTTTTCTATAATAGGTATGTCTGCACAAGCACCTAGAACACTAACATAAGTGGATGCACTGGGCACAATACCTTCTTCCAGCATTTCCTTAAAAATACACAAAGCCTTCTCTCCTTCTCCATTCTGAGCAAACCCCATGATCAAAGCAGTCCAAGCCACCACATTTCTGACTGGCATGTTATCAAAAAGTGAACACGCATCTTCCAATCTAGATGCACGTATATAAGCAACCAACATCGAAGTCCAGGAGAATACATCAGTCTCGTGCATTTGACAGAAAACAGAATATGAGTACTCAGGTTTGCCACATTTCCCATAAGCATCAATCAGTGCATTGCAAACCACAAGATTAAACCTCACACCAATCACAGTCGCAAACCCATGCAATTCGCGCAACAACCTCAACACACCCAAACATGCGCAAGCATTTACCACACCAACAACTGTAAATTCGTCAATCAAGAACTCATCCCCACATTGTCTTTGCGTTCTTTTGAAAAAGCCCATAGCTTTTCCTGGAAACCCATGATGAGTTAAGCTAGATATAACCGAGTTATAGCTCACAACATTTGGTTCAGGCATTACATCGAGCACCTGGAAGGTTTCCCCAAAAAGACCCTTTTTACAATAAGCTGAGAGTATTGTGTTCCAAGATTGTGCATTCTTGTTTGATACTTCATTAAATGCCTGTTGCGCATATTCTACAGAGCTACATTTAGCATACATGTCAATCAACCGATTGGCGAGGAATGTGTTAAAGTTTAATGCTGTCTTTATCAGCCGTGAATGGATGAGTCTCCCCAGCTTGAGATCATTAGTTCGAATGCATTTTGAAAGGAGGTTCGCCAAGTTATGGGAAGGGTTTGAAGATATCGCTTCAATTGGTTGCATTAGAGCAAACAGCAATAAACTCCAATTAAGAAAGAAATTGGATAGATTTTGTTAGAAACTCAAGATTATTACCAATTAAGCAATACCTAACAAAGCTGAAACTCGCCATCAATGTTTGATCAAGCTTAATTCACACCGAGTTTTGAGTTTGTTCCCTCCATAGCTAATATGATAAACCAATTGAAAACAGGCCGTTGGATCCGTCAACTATAACTCAAATCAAAATATCTAATGCACATTCAAAAAATAATAAGAATCATGTTCAGTCTATTTTTGTTAACAAATTAATTGAACCAATAAAAATATATTTTTTAATTTAGTCATATCTTAGTCACACCGAGAAAATCAAAATTATCTAAAAAGAATAAGGATGTGGATAGGAAATGAATCTTTCATTCTCAAAATTTAAATTTTGTATGTTGTTAGTTTATATGTTTTTGGCATCATCAACTAAATTAACTTGTAACAATACATAAGTCTTGAAATATTTATACACTAGGTTCCGATGTTTACAAAAATTAGGTCAAAAAATCATTTTAAAAATATTACGTTCAACTATTTAGAGATTTTCTTTAATAAAATATTTAGTACGTATGTACATTATGGACACTGCAATTCACATTTTATACAATGTACAGAAATATTGGAAATTTAGTGAAATTATGTAGGTGTTTAGTTATGAAAATAAAAAAATTATTACTTTATTTGGGATTTTTGAAGTTGGAGTTGTATTTGGCCATACTTTTTACAAAGAATATTTAGAATATATTTTGTCTGAATATGATTTATACCCTCAATTTCTAAAAATTAGAAAACTCACCCAACTTGACTAGGTTAACTACGTGTACATATATTCATTCGACTTGACACATCTTTTTGTTGGTGGTGTGAGTTTCTAAAAAAAATAGACAGAAGGATGAATCTTGCAAGTTGCAACCTTTGGATAATGCAATGATGTTTTTTGTTCACTTAAATACACAGGTTTAAGTCATACTTCATAGATGATTTTAGCCAAAAACTCGATTATTCATGTTCACATTGTCTCTTTTGTCACCCTTAATTAAAATTTTCCTCTTAGTTTTATTCCGCAATAAGTATGAAAAAAAACTTTTAAATTTATAATATTTTATTTAAAATGAATGGTACAAAATTATTCCTCATTAATCTATTTGCTCCCAAATACCTCTAATGTCTTATATTATCCTTATTTTTTAGCAACCTCCAATTTAGATCCAATTAATAAATTAATTAGTGAGTGACGCTCATCCAATAGTCAACCTATAATTAATTTAAACTAATCCAAAAATCCACTCATTTCTGAAAAAAGGAACAACTTTGAATTGTTTGTTTTTGTTTGAACTCCAACCGCCCCGTAACATGAAATTCACAAAAAAAAAAAAAAAAAAAGTTATTCTATCAATAAACAACCAATAATAACATAGATGAGGTATCTTGATTTTTGACACTAGCAATCACCTACATCAAAGACATTTTAAGAAGAAAAAAAAAATGTCATATTGATCCGTAGTTTTTATGCAAATTTACTATTCTATTATTCTTGAAAATCAACATATTAAAAGATAAATTATTCTAAATAAACAATATTTTTGCACTTGAACATAAAATGTATCAAATAATTCAAAAAAATATGATATATTCGCTGGCTACTTCAACTGGAGTGTAGAATTCTCCCTGTTAAGTAACAATGGCCGGTGTTGAGGTAATCATGATTGTGAAGGCAGAATTTTTTTTAATTGGAGTTTGATTTGGGGTTGATTTTAAAATAATTTAGGTTAATTATAAACTGATTTTGATAACTTCTTAGTATTTGTATATGAAGTTGTTTGGTAATTCTTCATTTCATTTTACCTGATTCTATTTAATATGAAAATTTAACATAAAAATAAATAATTTTGAAATATGCATTGTAAATAATTATGTGTTCGTGGTTAGGATACTTTTTAAAAAATAATGATATCTCTTACACCTTTATAATTTGAATGGAAAGAAATTAATTTTTTTCAAATTTATTATATGAAAAAAAATGAAGATACCTTATGTATAAAAATAGTTTATTTTAAAAAAAAATATTTCTTAGATGAATTTTAAAGTTTAATTGTTTGTAGTTATAATAAGGTGATATTCTTTTTTAGATAAACTAGAAGGGAAAGGGCGTCACATAGGGATGGAGGGAGTATAACATTAAATAGCTATACAAATATTTCATTAGAGTAAATGAAAAGTTTAGAATGAAATTGTTTACTTTTTAAAATTTTAAATAGACTAAAAAAATTATCATAAACCTTTTTTTAAAACAAAATGAGAAGAAAATTGGGGATGAGAGAAATGGAAGAGTAAAAAAAAAGAGAGAGAAATGGAAGAGTGAGATTATAACTCTGCCAATATTGGGCCTTTTTCTTTTGAAGCAACTTTAACATTCTAAATCCAATAACCAAAAATGATCAATTATTTTAATTTGTTGTAATAGGTAACATATTCAAATTTGTAAATTATAAAGCACATTTTAAGACAGCTAACCTACAGGCTACAAGTATTATTTGGACGATGTAATAATGTAAAAAAAAATTAAAAAAATCAGTATGTATGTAACACAAACTCAAAGATTAATTAGTAAATGCATACAAAATATTGAGAACTTTTGGGCTGGCCTTCCATCATCCATGCCAAGGTTAGGCAGCCATTTTAAAGAAGAATCTATTGGCCCCATGAGTTTGAAATATTTCTTCATCCAAAATAAAATATCTTTGTGATGAAGACATAAAGTTATGTTTTAGTGGGTTGTCAAAAATGTTAAGGCATATTGTATAAATATATATTTTAAGGCACGTCGTAATTCACGTTTAACATGGTATTCATATTATGTCACATAAGACGTGCATATTTATTTATTCAACTTTTAAAAAGTTTAAATACCTATTAATAACACCCAAAATTTGAGGATATAGATGTCAATTGAAGCTAAATTAAATGACACATTTATATATTATATCATTACTCTCATAAATTATTTAATTTTACATATTCAACTACACTTCATATGTAACCCACTTCTTCTTCTTGATAAAATAAAATACTTTACTTTAAATATTAAAGTTAAATACAAAATCGGCATCTTTATTTCTATGTCAAGTAAAAAAAAAAAAAAGAATAGTCAAAATCTTATTTGAAACTAATTTCTACTCTTTGAGCTTATTTGGATTAATTTATTTTAGATGTTTTTTACTCAAAATAACTTTAAACGACTTTGTAATGTTTGAATAAACTAAAAAAATGCTTTGTGCTTTTAAGGACTTGTTTTAATGCTTTTCAAAATTTAAGTTGAAAGTATAAGGAAATCATTTCCAATATTCTTTTAAAAAATGTGAAGTTCTTAAATACGTTATGTCAGAACATTCGTTTTAGGTGAACACATTAAGTGGAAGTCTCCATCAATAGATTTAAAACGATTATTCATTAATTTATATCATTGATATATCATAGTTCATCGAACTAGAATATGTATATATATAGAGAGAATCGTGATTCGTATAATAGAGTAGTACTGATGATTGACCTTAATATTAATGTCTAATTGTATCATCTTAATTTCTCTCTTTTATTCTCTAATATAATATAAAGAAGGAAAAATTACGCGGAAAAGCAAACATAAACTAGTTAATTAGCTAATATAACTATAATTTGAATTAATTACGGCTCGCAACTTAATTTTTGCTTTAATTATGTCGCTTGTCCTCTTTTATATATATACAAATACAAATTATACACACACATATATATATATATACAATTATATGACAGATATACAAATACAATTAGTCTCTCTCCAGTCTCTGCCCTTTCTCGTTCGCTTCTCTCATCTCTTTCCCAACCTCGCTCGTCAGATATACAAATATATATACAATTCGCTTCTCTCCACTCTCTTCCCTCTCTCCTCTCCCTCCCAATCTCGCTTGCCTCTCTCATCCCTCTCCCAATCTCGCTCGTCACAAATACATATGTATATCAGTTACATATATACAATTATTTGACAGATATACATATACAATTTGCCTCTTTCCACTATTTGCCCTCTCTCGCTCGCCTCTCTCTTCCTTCTAACATGTAGCCACAAATCGTAATTAGCAAACTATAGATATAGAGCATAATTAAGTTGTTTTTGAGTGGCAATATGCGAAAATTTCACAAAGAATAACTTCATTGTCAGTCAACTTTTATTTTATTTTATTTAATTCAAGTTATTAATTATTGTTTTTTATAAAATAAATCATTCAAACTTTATTTAGATATCATATATATATATATATATATATATATATAAGATCATTACACTATTTGTTGTAGTTAAAAAAATTCACTTAATTTTATCAAAATTTCTTAGAAATTTAAACACTTCAACGATTTTAGTTATATCCAAAAAGTTGTTTAACTTTGATGGAAGTAATGTCTCCTTTGTTTTCTCATAATGGCTTTATATATATATGATACGTAGGCAAAATTGAGTGATTTTTGCATAGGTAAAGTAAAGTGATCTTTCTTATATTCTAAACGAGAAATAAGAAAGGCACTAGCCGGAATATTGGAGGCATTTTTCAAATTGTGTAGTCAACTCAAGCAAAACCCACATATAAATTAATGTATACCTATGCACTTACAATTATAAATACATAATAATTTAGCGAAAATAGTACAATAAAATAAAAATTGAGTGATCATCGATGAAACTCCAAAGGAAGGTTTTCTCTTCGTTCTTTATTTAATAGCAAAGAAAAATGAAGCTATATATAGTCGAATATTATGATACTAGCTTAGTAGTACATTACTACTCACCCTGTTTAAAAAAGAATGACCACTTTCCATTTTAGTTTGTTTAAAAAAAATGATCATTTTTCCTTTTTTTGTAACATATTAATTTCAATTTTTTACGTGACATGTATAAGGCCACAAGATTAAAAGATAATTTTGTACATTTGACATAACTT